ACACACACACACACACACACACACACACACACACACACACACACACAAATGCATTATCTGTAATTTTAGGTACATAAAAATAATATGATTCCTCAAGGGCATGTCATCAAATATCCTTAGTGTTATTTTCCCTGCTTCCCTTTCCTCTCCCCCTTTTACCCTATTTTCAATTTTATATCATTGTATCCTACACTTCTCCTCTTTGGAAAATACTTGCAGGAAATACATATATCTAGTGGAATGGGAGAGTGAGAAAGCAGGAGGACAAGAGCAAAGCAGAGAAGGAAAGGCTTGTTAAGAGAATTCTAGTTGAGGGTGACAGAGGATGAAAAAATAAGATCATGGTTCAAGAAAAAAAGAATGGGATTACTGAAAACATTTAGGCTTTACTGGAGCCTAGGAAAGGAAAGGAAAGTTAGAAAACAAGTAGGTAGCTGTTTATAAACACTGGTTCTGTTCACTTATGTGGCCCTTAGTCACCAGTGCTGAAATTAGTTTGGGCCTGCCTTTTCTGGTGTGGCATCTGTCATTATCACCTTTTTTTTTGTGTGTGTGGCTGTTTGTGATACTCACTGCTTAAAAGTCTTACTTCCCCAATGTTTTTCCTATTTTCCCAGTCTCATTTTAGTTGGTAGTTTTAATGCTATGATAATTCTTGTGCTGGATGCTTTGTTTGCATAACTCTGTATTTCTTTTTTTTTTTTTTTTTATTTTTTTTTCTGGTTTATTTTTTTTTTTTCTTTTTAGTTACATTTTGTTAACTCTGTGTCCCAGCTGTATTTCGCTCCCTCATTCCCTCCCCAACCCCACACTCCCTCCCTGGTCTCCTCCCTGCCCCTTTCCAAGTCCACTGATAAGGGAGGACCTCCTCCCCTTTCATCTGACCCTGTTTTATCAGGTATCTTCAGGGCTGGCTGCAAAGTCCTCCTCTGTGGCCTAACAGACTGCTCCTTCCCGGGGTGTGTGTGTGTGTGTGTGTGTGTGTGTGTGTGTCAAACAGCCTGCCCTTGAAATCCTGTTAGAAATAGTCCGTGTTCCCCTTACTTTGGAAAACTACTTGGTTACTGAGCTACCATGGGCCACATCCGAGCAGAAGTTCTAGGTTATATCCATAGATGGTCCTTGGTTGAGTGTCAGTCTCAGAAAAGACCCTGTGCCCAGATATGTTTGGTCCTTGTAGAGCTCCTATCCTTTCCACATCATACTAACTTCCCTTCTTTCATATGATTCCCTGCACTCTGCCGAGGGTTTGGTTATGAGTCTTAGTGTCTGCTTTGAAACACTGCTAGGTAGAGTCTTTCAGATGCCTTTTGTGGTAGACTCCTGTCATAAGTTCAATGCACATCCCATTTGTCTTTCTAAATGAGGATTAATCACCTTCGCCTGTGTCCACTTTCTTGATTATCTTCTTTAGGTGTGTAGATTTCATTATGTTTATCATATCTTGTAGGTCTATATAAGCGAGTATATACCAAGTTTGTCTTTCTCCTTCTGGGATACTTCACTCAGAATGATCTTTTCTAGATCCCACCACTTGACTGCAAATTTCATGATTTCCTCCTTTTTGATTGCTGAGTAGTATTCCATTGTGTAAAAATACCACAATTTCTGTATCCATTCCTCCGTTGATGGACATCTGGGTTGTTTCCAAGTTCTGGCTATTACAAATAAAGCTGCTACGAACATGGTTGAACAAATGTCCTTGTTGTGTACTTGAGCAAATTTTGGGTATATACCTAGGAGTGGTATAGCTGGGTCTTGAGGTAGCACTACTCCTAGTTGTCTGAGAAAGCGCCAGATTGACTTCCAAAGTGGTTGAACCAGTTTACATTCCCACCAGCAATGGAGGAGGGTTCCCTTTTCTCCACAACCTCTCCAGCATGTGCTATCACTTGAGTTTTTCATCTTGGCCATTCTGATGGGTGTAAGGTGAAATCTCAGGGTCGTTTTGATTTGCATTTCCCTAATGGCTAATGAGGTTGAGCATTTCTTTAAGTGTTTCTCTGCCATTCGATGTTCCTCTTTCGAGAATTCTCTGTTTAGCTCTGTTCCCCATTTTTTAAGTGGATTACTTGGTTTGTTGCTTTTCTGCTTCTTTAGTTCTTTATATATACTGGATATTAGCCCTCTGTCAGATAAAGGGTTGGTGAAGATTCTTTCCCAATCTGTAGGCTGTCTATTTGTTTTGATGACAGTGTCTTTTGCTTTACAGAAGCTTTTCAGTTTCATGAGGTCCCATTTTCTGTATTTCTTTGCATCAGTGAACTACTATTTTTTTGTGCAGTAACTTTGTAACACGTTTTGGAAATCAGGAAGTGCAATGCTTTTGGCTTTGTCTTTCTTCAAAATTGATTTGATAATTCTAGGTCTTTTGTAGTCCCATATGAATTTCAGAATTTTCCTTTCTGTTTCTATTAAAATTACATCGGGCTGTCGGTAGGTGTTATACTGAATCTGTAGTTTTGCTGTGGCTAGTATATGCATTTTATTGGCATTAACTTTTCTAACTCATGAGCACGGGATATTGCTCCTTTGTGTCTTTAGTTTCCTTTAGCCATGGTTTGTGGGTTTTAGGGTGTAAGCCTTTCATGTCTTAGTAGTTGCTTTTGTATATGAACTCATCCAATTTTTTTTTCTTCACATAGTTCCCAGTGTGTAGAGGAATAATCAAGCCTTGTATGTTGATTCCATATATTGCAGCTTTGTAGAGTTTATAAGTCTTAATAGATTTTTGTTTTCGTTTCGTTTCGTTTTGTTTTGTTTTGTTTTTACTTAGATGCACTGTTTTGTCCAGACCTGACCTCCTTGGTACAAGTCATTTTCCTACATCAGCTTCCTGACCCATGACAGGCAGTTCTGGCAGTCTTCTTGTGGCGTCTTTAGGGTTTCATCTACCAATAGGTGTAATTTTACTTCTTTCTCCCCATTTGTGTGATTTGTATTTTTCTTTCCTGATTCTCTGAATGGGACTTAGAGTTCAGTCATGAATAGAAGTGGGAATAGCATACCAATTGGTTGTTTAATACCAAATGGTCAGCTCTGAAAACATACATACAAGTAACATTTATATAGTCCAAGAAGATTATATTTAGGAATATATACATGCATATGTGCATGTAATAACAATTAATAAAAAAAGAATTTGAAAGAGAACAAAGAGGGGGCATATGAGAACATTTAGAGGGAGGACAGGGAGGGGAGAAATGATGTAATTATATAATATAATCTCCAAAATAAAATTAAAAAAAAGAGGAAGAGCTGTCCTCATTCCTGATCTTGTAGGAAAGTACCCAGTTTTTCACTGTTGAGTGTGGTATTTGTTTTGGATGTTCTAGGCAAGGCTTTTATTAATTCTTGATTTTTATCACTGAAAAGATACTGAAAAATTTCAAGTGATATTTCTTCATCTGTTGGGATAGGGTTTATGATTTTCATCTTATATTGTATTATGTGGTATATTATATCAATTGTCCCGTATTGAACTGTGTGATTACCATCTGAGGGATAAATCTTATGTGGTCATAGTGTAAGATGCCATTGAGATGCTCAAAACTTAGTAGCAGTGCCCATAATTTAGTGGCTTTTTATCCACTAGCATTTGCCAGTGTTTCCCCTCACACTTTTGTATTTTTTTCTGTAATTATTTGGTTATTATGACAGAAGTCTATCTTTTGTATAATTATTGTAGTATACCAGAGTATATATATATGGGTGCATATATACCCATGTTTACTTCTGTGTATGTAATTGTATGTAACAAGATGATATTTAGAAATAACCCAAATAAAAAAAATCTTTTTCCCCCAGGCAATTCGAAGTTTTCAAGTAGCCCTCCACATATATCCAATGAACCCTGAAATATGGAAGGAAGACCTTTCTTGGGCAAGAAAGCTCCAGGAACAGCAGAAAGTAGCAAAGAGGATTGAAAAAAAAGAAATTCCAGCAGAAGGAACAGACGTCTCACCAGGGTCTATCCCTGACTATGACTTTGAAAGTGATGAGATCGTTGCTGTCTGTGCAGCTGTTGCAGAAAAACAGAAGTCAGTATCGGCAAATAAAACAATGGTTATTGTGTCAGCTTCTGGGACTGTAGAGATAGTAAACGAGAAGGAAGAGGGCTCTTCCACCCCAGATGGCTCTGTCTTTATCAAAGCCCGATGAGGCAGTAACAATGAAAAGAGGTTTAAATCTTTTTTTTTTTTTTTTTTTTTTTGGTTGCTGCTAACTGCTTAGATGACATGAGAATACCCACTGTGGAGGAAGAGAAAAACTCTGGTTTGTAAAACGACTTTTTAGATGAAGCATATAAAAAATCAGGTAGCGGCATTGTTCTTTAGTGAGTGGACTGAGCTTCTGCAAGTTTCAGAGTGCACTTAAGGTTAGCGTCGTAAGTGAGATGTGTTTTGATTGATAAACATTTAATTGGATGAGTACCACTTAAAGACACCATTTGGAAAGTGTGTTCTTGAATAGTGAGTAGGTTGGCAGGCACTGTTACTACAGTGCCAACTTGCAGACTTTGTTTTGTGATAAAGAAAGGATATGATTTCTTTCCCTCCTATGATTCTGCTGTTGTCGTTCTTCCTTGTTTTTCTTCACTAGTATAAATGTTCGGAAATCTCAAATATTTCTGACATCCATTTAGATTCAAAATTATCACTTGGTTATGTGTGAACATTTGAATATTTGAAATATTTGAAAGTTTGCCTAAAAATGCATGCAAATGTATGTATCCTGAACATTTCTTTGAACTTTGTTGTTCTAATTTGTGCTTCTGTTTTGACTTTAAAGTTAAAAAGTGGTAACTGTCTTCTTCAGTATTTGATGACTATATGAATACTAGTGTGTCAGAGTGATGGTTTCATTTTACTGTTAAGATTGAGTCCTCTTTTCCACATGTCAGTTATTTGTAAAGATGAACGACATTTACAAATTGTCAGTAAATTCTACTCCTACATTATCATGGCCAAAAAAGAGTTTCCTTTTTTTCTTTCAGGGGGGAGGCTAAACTGGATTAGCATGCTACTCTGCTTCTGAGATAGATTCCCATACATTTTTTAAATTATTTTTGAAAGTATGAAGAACCTTGAAACATTTCTTTCCCTTCTTTTTGACCAAGGTCTTACTTTTAGCCCAGGCTGGCCTCAAGGCTAACTTCCTGCCTCTCATCTGGACAGGTATAATCTACCACAGCTGACTAATGCTTCTTGTTTATAACTTTGCAGCAAACAATTTATAAACATATTTCTAAATAGCTATTTTTGGACCTATTCAGTGAAATGAAAAATAGTTTCAATTTTAAATAGGTATGAAATCTCTCTTTAAAAGCAAAAAGGCAGAAATATTACTAGAGTATCATTTTGTGACTGACAAGGGACTGGAATGTGTAATAGTATAATCGCAAGAGTATGAGCAGTATATGGTGAGGAAGCATTTTAGTGTCAGGTGTGGTAGCAAATGCCTATAATCTTAGCACTGGGAAGGCTAAGGCAGGGAAGTTGTAAGTTTAAAGCCAGCCTGGGCGTCACAGCAAGCCCTTGCCTTAGAATAAAACAAAGACAATGGGGAAAATAAAACAACACAAGAAAGAGGTGATTAAAAATCCTCAGTCACACTCACAAAGCAATATTTTTATTGCTTTGAATTACTGTTTCTATTATATAGTCATACAAACATATGCAGCAGTCAGTGCTGTTAATTCTGACACTCAGGAAGGTATTATTGGTGTAATTTTTTCTTTTAGAAATGAAAGTTCTTTCTGCTGTATTATGTAATCTTTGCAAAAACTGTTGGAACATATAAGTATGGTCTGCATTTTTGTGAGGATGATATTTTTTAAGAAGTATTTTAGGGGAATGTTCTTTTTTTTTTTTTTTTCAGAGTTGGAGAAGTCAGCAGTTGCCTTAAAAAGTATTATATTTTCCCCCTAAATTATATCTTAAAAAAACTAGCCCCTGGATAGAAGAGGCCAGTTTTAGAATGATTAGAAAATTATTTTGTTAAATAACAAGGGATATTCTCAGAGGGTAGTTAGATGCCTAGAGAATTGAAATGCCACATTTGATATGTTATATATGGATGTCTGCTTATTGTGTACTTGTGAATAAATAGTTTTCCTCCTGCATTTTGGAGATTTTCCTCTTAGAGTTTGGAAATTAGATTGGCATATCATTTTTCTCCTGTATAAAAGTATACATGAAACACTTTGAGTGGTTTCTCACAGATACAGTCCTTAGTAAATTCTAGCTATTTCTAGGAAGAACTTGCCTTAGTTTGGAAGTACTTCATCTCACTTCCTTCTGGTTTTAGAAAAGATTTTTTTATAGCCTTTTACCTGAATGAAGTCACTGCTTGTGATACTGAAGATGGTTGTCAGCGATTGTTCTTGACAGAGTCTATGCCTCCACCTCAAAAGAGGCAAGACCCCACATGGCCTGAGTGTTGCTTCCAGACTGTTGAACCTGTGGTTTTAACTGCTTTGATATTGGTGGGTCATGTCAGTCTCTTTATTACCCAGGTATAAGATGCAAAATAGACATAAGATGGGAGTACTCTAGCTAACACTTCTGTGCAGGAAGAGAAAAACACATCCATTATTTTACTAGGATGTGAGTAATGATACATAAAAATTTACTAAGCTTGTTTATTATAATAATAAAATTTTATGAATTTGGAGAAAAATGACACTCATGATAATAATATTATGTTTAATAAGGGATCTTAAACAGTATTAGTGTTAAAATTATGTTGAATATGATTTGTGTTTTTCTGGTTCCAAAATTGTATGGTATAGATACTTATTGGAGTACCACACATTGAGACCATTCCTGAAAACTTGAGACTCATGTTAATTCCTAGACTGCAGGTACCTGGGACTTAAAGTATAGTATCTTAGATATCTAACAGTATCAAAAAATTATGAGGGAGGCATATGATAGTGTATAAGCATGCAAATATTTTAAATTGCTATTGTTGTTTGGCTAAAACTAATGAGTTAAAATGGGTTGTCTTAATGGGATAGATATTAGAAATAGGAGAAAACAAGTAACAGGACAGGAGCCTACCACAGAGAGCCCCTGAAAGACTATACCTAGCAGTGTATCAAAACAGATCCTGCGACTCATAACCAAACCTTGGGCAGAGTGCAGAGAATCATATGAAAGAAGGGGGAGTTAGTTTGACCTGGAAAGGACAGGAGCTCCACAAGGACCAAATATATCTGGGCCCAGGGGTCTTTTCTGAGACTGTATCTCCAACCACGGACCATTCATGGATATAACCTAGAACCCCTGCCCAGATATAGCCCATCGCAGCTCAGTATCCAAGTGGGTTCCCTAGTTAGGGGAACAGGAACTGTCTCAGACATGAACTCAATGGCTGGCTCTTTAAATCTGCCCCCCCCTCCCCAAGGGAGCAGCACCCTTGCTAGGCCACAGAGGAGGACTTTGCAGCCAGGCCTGAAGATACCTGATAAGCTAGGGTCAGATGGAAGGGGAGGAGGACCTCCCCCATCAGTGGACTTAGGGGCAGGAAGGAAATGAGGGAGGGAGGGTGGAATTGGGAGGGAATGAGAGAGGGGGCTACATCTGGGATACAAAGTAAATAAAGTGTAATTAATGTAAAAAATAATAAATTAAAAAATGGTTGTCTTAGAAAGCTGGTGCTTCCTTCATGATTGTAGCAGGACAGCAGAGTCCTGTCAGTTTGCAGATTTTACTCTGCATAGTGACTCACAGGCTTGCTTCCCTTTCCCAGAACTAAGAGAATTATTAATCAGCCCTTTAATTTCCTTATGTAAGAAACCCTTTCAAACCCACAGTGTAACATAAAATCTAGTCTTTGGCTTCTTCACATGTGTCTAAATGACTAGGAGTTAACAGAAGAACCACAGCCATCATCTTCAGTGTGTGTGATAAGGTGTGTTTTTCTGAGATGACTTTAAACCAACAAGGGAGTTTACGATTGGTGGCATTTTAGGATAAAGAAACTCATTTTTTAAACCAGTAATAAAACATGACAGTTTGTAAGTTACCTCTTTACCCGAGTAAATTGAAATGAAGGAGATGTTTCTCTGAAGTCATGTACCTTAGCCACATGCGAGTGAATAGAGCTACCTTGAATGCAAGAGCTTTGGTGGCCTTTTGGCTAGTATAGAATGCCTCATGAAATGTTAATGTGTGGACTGCCTGTGTTGTATTTGGAGAGTGGTAGGAAAGCCGGTGAGTGTGTACTAACTCTGTTGGGAAAGCAAGTTAGGTGGGAATGAATTCCCTTCATCTTGCTTCATAGAGTGTCCATTAACCAAGGAATTCTGATCTCCTTCCCACTTTTTGAGGAGAGGAAGGACTGGATGTCCTGGTCCCTTTCTCCCCTTCCTTGGGGTTGGCCATGTCTCCTTCCACCTACATTGTGAAGGGGAGCAGAGAAGGGGGACCTGTGTTTCAGAGCTGCCCAAAGCATGGTGAGGTCACTCAAGTTCTGGGTTCAGTATTACTTGATCATTATTGGCAGTCATCTGATAGAAGCTCCACATCCCCAGCTCTTCTCTTGGGTAGTTCAGAGTCCACAAGGAAGCACAGATCATTTAGGACTCCCCTAAGCACTAATAAAGATTGAGTATATTTCAAAGTATGAAGTTTAGTAAAAACAAAATGTAAAAATTCTAATTTTTGCATTTTTAGTTGGGGAGATTTTATTGAAAATAAGTGGTTTGTTACAAGGCAGCAGGAAAATTTACTTTTACTATATAAAGGTCTACTGCCTTGTAATAGTAAACCATAAAGCTGAAGGAAGGAATGTGGAATGAGTTATGATATCCTTTACCTACTTCTGTCAATTTTCTGAAGTGTCTATAATTTAGATACAGAAAAAGACAACCACTTTTTAAATTTTTGCTTTTACAATTTATTCATTTTATATTCCAATTGTAGCCCCCTCTCTCATCTCCTCCTGGTCCCATTCTCCCTCCCATTTCTCCCTTTCCCCCTCTCCTATTCCACTGAAAGGGGGAGTCCTCCTCCCCTACTATCTGACCCGAGCCTGTCAAGTCACATCAGGACAGCCTGGATCTTCTTCCTCTGTGGGCTGCCAAGGTTACCCCACCACGGGGAAGTGATCAAGGAGCGGGCAACGGAGTTCATGTCAGAGATAGCCTCTGCTCCCCTTACAAGGGCACCCACATGGAAACTGAGCTGCCTATGGGCTACATTGGAGCGGGGGGTCTAGGTCCTCTCTGTGCATGGTCCTTGGTTGATGCATCAGTTTCTGCAGGTCCTCCTGGGCCTAGAAAATTTGGCTTTGTTGGTCTCCTTGTTAGGCTTCTGTCCTCTCGGGTCCTTCTATCCCCCAACTCTTCCATGAGACTCTTGCACTCTGCCCAAAGTTTGACTGAGTTTCTGCATCTGCTTTGATGCCCTGCTGGGTGGAGTCTTTCAGAGGATATCTGTGGTAGGCTCACTTCCAGTTCCCTCTCTTCCACCACTTTGGTGTCTATCCTGTTTACCTTCAGAATGAGAATTAAGCATCCTTCCTAGGGTCTGCTTTGTTGTTTAGCTCTTTTAGGTCTGTATAGTTTAGTATGTTTCCTATATTATATGGCTAATAACCTGCTTATAAGTGAGTATATACCATATGTGTCTTTCTGGTTCTGGGTTACCTCACTCAGGATGATCTTTTCTAGTTCCCACCATTTGCCTGCAAATTTCATGACTTCCTTGTTTTCGATAGGTGAGTAGCATTCCATTGTGTAAATGTACCACATTTTCTTTATCCATTCTTTGGTCGAGGAATATCTAGTTTGTTTCCAGATTCTGGCTATTATGAATCAAGCTGCTTTGTACATAGTTGAGTAAATATCCTTGTTGTATGGTTGAGCATCTTCCAGATATATGCCCAGGAGTCATAGAGCTAGGTCTTGAGGAAGCGCTAATCCTAGTTTTCAGAGAAAGCGCCAGACTGATTTCC